TTGCTAGAAGCATTTCACAATCCTTATATACCAGAAATGTATACAATTAACTTCGTTATCGAAACCTTTCTTCTTTCTGATATGACCAACTTACACATCTCATATGAAAAAAAAATTTCTTATACTAATGTTAGCATTATGCATATGATATGTATCAACTCCCATTATTATAGCAAATGTCCCACCACAAACATTAAAAATATGTCTGAGGGGCATCTTGTTGGCTCGGTCAACTGAGCGTCCGACTCGATTTCGGCTCAGTCATGATCTCAAGACCATGGGATTGAACCCCATATCAGGCTCCACACTGAGCATGGAGCCTGCTTGGGATTCTGTCTCTCTCTCTTCTCTGCCCCCACCCCCCTCTTGTGCTCTGTCTCTAAATATATATAATAATGATAAAATAAAATAAAATAAAATAAAATAAAATAAAATAAAATAAAATAAAATAAAATAAAATAAAATAAAATAAAATAAAATAAAAATTTTTTAAATAATAAAATGTCTGATAAAAGAATTGCTTTGATGGAGTAAATAACAGAGGCTTAAACCCCCTTATTTCTAGCATTATAGGGGTTGAACCTAATCCTAAGAATTCAAAACTCTCCATGTTACTATAATACATCATATTCTATGTTAAGGTCAGCTGAATAAACTATAGGGTCAATACCCCCAAAATTGTTTATATTCTTCCCATACTAATAAACTCTCTTATCTTTAGTATTATATTATTTACCATTATTACAAACACCATAATCATTATATTAAGCTCACACTAATTAATAATCTAAATTTGTTTCAAGATAAATATAATAAACCACATTCCAATTCTAATTAAAACTGATAGTCCATGATTCATAGAAGTATCCATTAAGTATTTCCTAATAGCAAACAAGCTACCACATCTCTACTTCTCATAATGGTTATCATTATTAAATTAATATATTCTGGTCAATGGACAATTACTAAAATTTTTATTCCACAGCATCCTTTATTATTACAGTAGCCTTTATTATAAAACTTGAACTTTCCCCATTCCACCCTTGAGTACCAGAACTTACACAAAGTATTCCATTAATAATCAGACTTAATCATCTTATCAGCATGACAAAAACTTACCTATCAGTTTTATATCACATTTCACCATCAATTAATCTATTATTAACAGATCATAAGTTTACTATATTACTATATAGTATTACTATATTATTAACAGGTCGTAAGTACCACTTCCTTTGATCCTGAAGGAGGAGGCGACCCAATTTTATCTCAATATCTATTCTGATTCTTCAGTTACCTGAAGTATATATTCTTATTTTACCTGGATTTGGGATAATTTCACATATTGTTGTATATTACTCAGGAAAAAAAGGGCTTTTGGATATGTAGGGATAGTATGAGTCATGTTATATTGGAGAATCAGAAGTTACTAAAGGATTTTCAACTGCACAGGAGGTCAGTGCCCTTGACCCCGACATCGTTCAAGGGTCAACTATAGTTGCAACACTGGTATTACACATGGTACTTTGGCGAGAACAGTACACTCAAGTACCACACACAAGTTAAGCAATAAAAGCAATATGTAGACATTTTATTCAGTAGTATTAATTTCTGAGAACCTCTCCCTTTCCTGATGGGCCCTTTCTGTTCTGTTTCATTTACATCTAGCTCAGAATCCTTGATTTTCCTCCTGTTGAGGCCCATTCCTGCCTTTAGATTTGGTGGCTCATTTTGGCTTTGTTATCTTGATCTTTACTGATTTACACAGAGTTTGACTTGATTCTCTTTACTTCTTGACACATTAGGTAGGAACTCTTCCTTCGTTCTGACCCTTGTGACTGCAATCCCTTTTAGGCTAGGTGCTAGCCATATGTCACCTTGGTTTCCTCCTCAGGGTAATTCTGATAATTTACCATCTATGAGATGCACTTTTCTGTGTATGTGAAGTGTCAAACATTCATTTATTCAAGAAAAAAACTTTTTTCTACATTTGATCTTCGACAAACACTCTGACTCAGATCTAAATGTATCTAGAAACATAAATTTTTCTTTGCTCTTCTGTTTATTCACACGTTTAAATAAGAATACTCAGTGTTAGAAATCAATGATCTCTCATGAAGTAGAATCTCGTTTTTGGGTGTAAAACTCTTTTGAAGGAAATTTATATAACTGTGGGACTGGTTAGTTAAGGAGTTGCTTGACTTAGATTTGTCAGTATTTTGTTGGACTTTTAAACTTTCATTTTACGTCATTCTTGGTCATTATTGTACCTCACTGGGATGTATGATCTCTGTATGTGAGCAGATGAATAAACAGATGGAAATGATCACTAAATGGTAGCCCTGGAGAATGGGTGTAGTTCTCAGACAAGCCTCCACTCACTGACAGTTAATTCTGGCTTTCCTGAGTTCTGAGGTGGGCGGGAATGTGGTGAGCACTTACTAGAGTGGGGATCCATCAGGGTGGGCAAATTGAATTTGCAAGAGGCATGTTCACTTGGAAATTCTCTTCCCTAGAAAATTCCTTAAAAACAGAACTATCTGTTCATGCTTTGAAGCTTTTTAATAAGACCACCTCACAGAAGACCCGCAATACCTTGAACAATGATTCTCTAGAATAATGTTTCTCCAAAGAAGGGGCAGGCCTGTGGCCAAATCTGGCCCCATTTGTTTTTGTATGACTTGCAAGCCAAGACAAGCTTTTACATTTTCAAACGGTTGGGGGGAAAAATCAAAAGAAGACTAATATTTCATAACATGTGAAAATTACATGAAACTCAAACTTCAGAGTCTACACATAAGTTTTATTAGAACACATCTGGGGTGCCTGGATGGCTCAGTCACTTAAACTTCCAACTCTTCATATCAGCTCAGGTCATGATCTCATGGTTCATGAGTTTGAGCTCCTCTGCCCTGACAGGGGCTCTGCGCGGACAGTAAAGAGCCTGCTAGGGATTCTCTCTCTCGCTCTTCCTCTGTCCCACCCCCCGCCTCTTTCTCTCTCTCTCAAAAATAAATAAACATTAAAAACACACATACAAACACACACACATCCTTGCCCATTGATTTACATATTGTCTATGGCTATTTTCAGCTACAACGGCAGAATTAAGTAATTCCAACAGAGACTGACTATATGGTTCACAAAGCTAAAACATCTGCTATCTGGCCCCTCGCAGATAAAGTTTGTCAGCCCCAACTCTAGACCTTATGTGAGGAAAGCAGGCACTGAATCCCCCTGGGTACATACAAAATGAACATCTCTATGCAGTTAAGGAGACTGAACAAGTCAGGAAATAGAGAAAAGACGGTGAGCTGGTAGTCTCAGTGCTTAACTTGAACATTCCTTCAGGAAATCTCGGTTGTCAATCCTCTTCACTGAAGCACTCACATTCAAACTGCCACCTGGAAACCTGAAACTGTGGGTTAGAACAGCCATCAAAGCTAGTGCATTGGGAATGGAGCAAGGAATTAAGAGTAAACTGGGGACATACCCAATATGCGTCCCTCCATGGAGTGCCATACCCTGCGCTAAATTGCTCTAACAAATATTCTCTCTAGCTGGCCCCGTTCCAGAGAACAGGAAGGAAACAGCATTAAAGGTTTGGAAAAGAGGGGGCAATGAAGCAAGAAAAGCTAGGATGAGGTGCCCAGGAGAGACAGGGGGCAATAAACGTGTCCTCCACCGACAGAATATACACTCCTGCGAAGGGCAGAGAGGGGAAGAGTGGCCTTTTTCACCTCCTGGAGAAAGAAAACAACATCAGAGGCCAAGGTGGAATTGGGTGTGTCCCGCCCTTCCTTAGATGAATAAGGCTACAGGAACGTTCCTGAGAAAGCGATCCACAGTCTTTTCTTGCACTATAGTTTATGTGGCATGAAAACTGAAAAGAGCTGTATGAGAAATGAGATAAAACCACGCGGTCCGAACTGTAGCCCTAAAAAATTTAGTGAACCCCATGATTTAAAGAAAAAAAAACTTACCAACAATCCACATTTACCATTTAGTAATTGCTAACTACATGCCACATATGTGTATATGTACAAATATATATACATCTATATATATATATACATAAATATACTGTAATCCTTGCAACAACTAAGCAATACAGATGGTAGTAGTGAAGTATCCCCATTTCATTAATGAAGCAACCAAGAATTAGAGGGGTTAAATGACTTGCTCAAAGCCAAACAGCTGTAAGAGACAGAATGAAGATCTGAAGTCTCTCCGTCCAGTTAACCACGTTTACTTTACAGATGAGCACTGCTACCATCTTCAAAAGACATTAAAAAGCAGCTCCTCAAAAAATTAGATATATGCCAGTTTCTGCTAAGTATCACCTGCTCAATTAAGGGATTACCTGGGTAGAATAATTGAGGCGTCATAATTTTAGTTGATATAAGAAAATGCTCGATGGGGAACCAATTTTTAGCAATTTCACTGTATTTCATGAGTGGGAGTTAGCTTGCTTAGTCCTAGCCAATATAATTTTACCTGGTAGTAATGGATCAATTTATTACACTTGATCTTTTCCAGGATGGCACACTGTCCCAGAATCAAAGAAATACAAGTTTGTGAAATCCAAGCCTTTGACCACAAAGGTCAAAAGAGAGAATGGGAGGAAGGAGCAGAGAACACCCATTTTCACTGCTGGGATATCGCAATTAAGCAGCTAGGTTTCCACAGTGTTAGGGGGTGCTACTATGAGATACCCCCCACCCCCCACTAAAATTAGGACCGAGTAAAATAAAGTAAACACAATAGAGCAGAAAACTTCGGTCACCTGGGAAAAAGTGTCTGACTCCCAGCAGAGTATCCAGGAGTGTAAGCGGTGGATTATATTTACCTTGACTAAAGGGAAAGCAGGTGCCAAGTGGCCAGGAGACTGGGCAGAGCCCAGCCCACCCAGGGAATTGATAAGAGGGCCATTAAGTGAGTTCCTCTTTAAAAGCAGTTCCTCCCCCCAAATAAAAAAAAAAAATTAGATAAATAAAAGCAGTTCCTCCCATTTGCCAATAGCTTCCATGGAGTGCTAGTTCAGGGAAAACATTTTTCCTTCCAAACTGCCCAAACACCTGGGACAGGACTGAAACATAGAGGAGAAGGGAAGATAAAGAAAAAGGTAGAAAAGGGGAAAAGGAAGATACTATAATGGGCAGAGAGGGAGGTGGGAGGGATGGGTAAATGGAGAAGGGAATCTATAGTTCATACCAAATGTGGCCAGAATGAGAATGACATCTAATTTGTGTAGATCTTTTTTTCCTAAGAATTAAGAATCATGATTCTTGTCATCCAAGTCTATGTCACTGCATATCTATGTGATTTTGTCTAAAGAGAAAAAAAAATAGAAGTAATAGTAAGACCTAAAGATAGTGTCAGAATCAGGAAAAGATTAGGTAATCTAATTTTTAAAAAAGAGAATGGAGGTTTGGGGTGGCAGTTAATGGAAGGAAGTTGTTGTTAGATAAGAGACCAGACTTTTTTTTTTTAATTGAGAAGGTGAGGAACATTGTAGGGGGGAATGAGGTGACTGCCTGGCATACTAAAATATAAATATGCCCTGACTTTCTTCCTCATTCAGTCTTATGTCAAAGTAGAAAGAAATTAATGTGTGTGTGTGTGCACATACACATACATATTTGTTTCTTCATTCATATATACATACATGTTTGTGGGTATTGGTGTGTGCATATGTGTTTTAGTTGTGAATCTCCTTATCTTTCTCATGTTCACTGTCTCTGGTAGAAAATCAATGACAAAAGGGCAAAAGCAAAAAGGATAAATACATATACTACACCATCAGTCTCTTAATTTGGGGGAGTTGACTAAAAGCAAAGCGCTTCTTTTTTTGGAACAAAACATTGTCTTTAAAAATCGGAGAGAAATGCAAAATGTAGTTAGATTACCTAAAAAGGTTCTGATCTATTTTTTTTAATATTGCTTTCTTAGTGCAAAACAAAGGTTCTTATGAGGCCAAAGAGTGATTAAAAAAAAAAAGTTTTCAGCAATACTGTTGCTAGAAATGTTCCCTGGGTCTTTGCATAGGCAACCATGGGAAAGAGAGTGGCCATCATCGGAGCTGGTGTCAGTGGCTTGGCCACCATCAGAAGCTGTCTGGAAGAAGGACTGGAGCCCACCTGCTTTGAGAAGAGTGAAGATATTGGGGGCTTGTGGAAATTCTCGGTGAGTGGGACATCACTGCAGCAGACCAGGAAGTGGGGTGGGAAGTGTGTGACAACACAATTCTGGAGCACAGCCCTCCAAACCAACTGCCCCGCAGTTAGAATCCCTCTTAGGTTGGAATCTACAAAACACAGCATCAGAAGCAGGTTGAAAAGTTTCTTGCTTACTCCAGAAGTAAATGAGATAATGGGCTAGCTTTGAAGATCTCTGTGTACAGAATTGACCCCTGATAAACCATTCATAACTGAGCCACTCAGAAATAAAATCTGAGGGCAAATATTGGTTAGATTTATGTAATATAATCACATGAGTTCCTCACTTAAAAAACAATGACTGTTCCCATTCTTTTGTTGAGGTTACCAAAGGTCCACTTAGTGATTCAGACCACAGATTTTCAGGTTTCAGGTGCCAACTCTGGCTTTGCCAAAACTCTGGCTTGGTTCTAGGAGAACTAAGAAGAGGATACACTGATTTGAAGTTCTTCAATATCCTTTTGTCTCTGTGCATTCATAATAAGGACTCTGCCAGCAGACATGTCTCTATGCAGCCATTAAATCACTTTCTGTGTCACCTAGCAACCATAACAGCAGGTGTGAGGGCCTTCCTGTGCCCCAGCTCCTTCACTGTCTCCAACTTAGGAACACTCACTAAGCCTACTCCATCTATCTTCTCCTTCTTCTCCTTCTTCTCCTTCTTCTCCTTCTTCTCCTTCTCCTTCTCCTCCTCCTCCTTCTTCTTCTTCTCCTCCTTCTCCTTTTTCTTCCCTTCTTCCTCCTCCTCCTCCTCTTCCTCCTCCTCCTCCTCCTTCTTCTTCTTCTTCTTCTTCTTCTTCTTCTTCTTCTTCTTCTTCATCTTCTTCTTCTAATAAACCATTCATATATGCAAATTTAAGAAGAGCAATAACCCTTTTTAAGCTACTATTTTCTCCTCAAGTGCAAAATTGGTATTATATTTTATACCTCAATAAAAAAGTTTGCATTTAAGGAGACAATGTCTATGACAACTCTTTAAATATTATAAGGATATGAAAATTATTCTTATTAATACAGATATTTTCTGGGCTGTAAAGAATTACTGAAACTGCTTAATCTTGTATAACGTTGTGGCACCTAATATATGTTGATGAAATGTGCTGACAGGGCTTCAGATTAGCATACCGTTGACTCTTAGGGCTATTTTATTGAGGACTCTCTATATGCCAAATGCTTTTTCCCATTTAATTCAATCTTTGCAATAACGCTATAAGGTAGGTATGAGTTTTTCCCTTTTATAAATGAATCTGAAGCTTAAAAAAAGGAAAGAAAAGAAAGGAAATGGCAAATGGCTGGTAAATGGCAAAGACAAGATCCTGATTCAAGCTGGCTGTCTCTCCAGCCTGAGTGCTTAACCCCTCGGTAAACTGCGTGGCACAATTGCAGCATGTGGCCTATTGAGCTGGCAGGATTTCTACAGGAATCTTAACCAATCCTTGTATTCCAACTTACTTTGCAAAACATCGCTAAAGATAGACACTGATGATACAGCCTTTGAGAGCAGCCACATCTCTTGCTGCTCAAGAAAGCCTTTAAAATTTTATCCTGCCATCATAGAATGATAAACTACTCAGCTGCAAACATATGTTTCTCTTCAAGAAAAAGATGAAAATAACATTTAAAAAATTTTTTAAAAAAAGGGGGGCACCTGGGTGGCTCAGTCGGTTAAGCATCCGACTTCAGCTCAGGTCATGATCTCACGGTTTGTGGGTTCAAGCCCCGCATCTGGCTCTGTGCTGACAGCTCAAAGCCTGGAACCTATTTCAGATTCTGTGTGTCCCTCTCTCTCTGCCACTCCCCTACTCACGCTCTGTCTCCCTCTGTCTCAAAAATAAATAAACATTAAAAGAAATTTTTTTTAAAAAAGAAAAAGATGAAAACCCCAGAGGGTGACACTGCAGGCCCAGAGGTTGGAATCTTGAAACATAGAGGGTTATTCCCAGGTCTTGAAACCCAATAACATTGACCCTACTGGACTTCATAATTGGACCTGGTAACTCCTTTCTGCCTCCCATTCTCTCCTTTTTGGAATGGGAACATCTATAACTGGTACCCAATGCCTGTTTCACTGCCGTACGTTAGTAGAAGAGAACTTGTTTTCTAGTTCACAGGTCCACAGAGGGAAAGGCATTTTGCAGATGGATCATACCTGGAGTCTCATCCATATCTGATTGAGATAATTTAGATGGTGCGATTTGGGACTTTTGAGCTGATGATATATAGATAAGATTCAGGACTTGATTTAGTGCTGCAATGGATTGAGACTTTGGGGTGATGAGATGGGGTGAATGAATTTTGCATGTGGGATATATATGAATCTTTATGGGCCAGTGGACTGTGGTAGGCTGAACAAGTGAACAATGGTGCCCCCAAAGACACCAGATCCTAATCCCTGGAACTTGCAAATGTCCCTAATAAGGAAAACTAAGGTATGATTAAGTTAAGAATCTTGAGATGGTGATATTATTCTGGATTATCTGGGTGAGCTGAAAATGCCATAACATATATGCTGAGAAGGGAGAAGCAGAGGAGATTTGACACCCAGAGACAGAAGGGAAAAGGTAATGTGATCACCTTGGCAGAAAGAGAGCTTTCAAGATGTTATGCTGTGACTTCCATCTTCAAGATGGAGGAAGGGGCCATTAGCCAAGGAATTCAGGTGGCCTCTAGGTCCTGAAAAGGCCAAGGAAGGCTGGCATCTGCCAAAAGCTGGAAGGGGCAAGGAATGAGTCCTCCCCTAGAGCCCCTGGAATGAACACAGCCCTATGGACACCTTGATTTCAGCCCAGTGATACTGATTTCTGACTCCTGGCCTCTAGAATCGTGAGAGAATAGATTCCTGCTATTGTAAGCCATCGAGTTTGTGGTAATTTATAACAGTACACAGGAAACTAATACATCGGTTATTCAGAGTTCCCTAATTACCTCTGTGAGAGGGCCCACATTGCAGATGACAGCATCGCTTACCATGTTTCTCAAATACCACTAAAAGCCTTACAGCTGTATGCCTTGAACTCATATTACAGAATTATATTATAAAGTCATTTTAATTTTGTATTTTCATTACCTTTAGTTTCTAAAGTCAGCATTATATATTCTCTCAGCATTTTGTCTCCCTTTGAGAGGTATCCAAACATTTGTTAAGTGTGAAAAAATCATGGTACAGATCAGTCAAACTTTTGTAGCTGTTTCCTGGATCACTTCCCTAGGTCCTTCTAAAGCCAGAGTAATGTCTTTCCCTCACCTGTTTGATCACTGAGAGAATTAAGTACTTTAGGACTAGGCCACAGGTCTAGGGGAAATCTCTTTCTGTCTCAGGAGATACCCAAACAATACATCAGTAAGTTGTCTGGATTTGGACCTGAGGTTTCATGAATAAAGGCTCTTTTTTTCTGGTCACACAACCCTTTGTTCACTTCCCCTTAATTTATTCTACTCTGGATCATTTTTTTTTAAATGTTTAGTCTCTCCTTGTGTTGAGACTACCCAGCTTTCTAACCTCACCAAAAGCTACAAATCACAAAATTACTAGACAAAAATCAATCATTTTTATATATTTTAGAGTTAGCGAACTGGCTGCTTTTATACTGCAGCTGATCTATTTTATTTTAGCTATACAGTTTTTAAGATTTTAATCTAATATTTTACATAAAAATCTAGAAATCTGTCTTCTTTTGAAAAAATCAGAAAATCAGGCAACACTGAATCTTCCCTGACTCATAGTAATAACTGGCCTCTTTTAGCCTAAATTTAAATTCTCTGTTTCACCATATTCATTTTTGCCCATTTCACTCATCTCTTGTAACTTCCTCTACACCTGTAAAATTTGTCATGGCTTGATGCGATGTACAAACAGCAATCCTTTAAATTATGTGGAACAAAAGTCACCCCCATTTACAAAATTTTTCATCTCCTTCTTCATATAGTTTCATGATCCTTTTTGTTTAAGCAAACCTTCATGTGTATACTGTTATAATGGAAACATTGGTCATTGCTGAGCCACTTAGTGGATTCTGATCACATTTTCTTTCTTGAACACTTTTTGTTTTCACTGGAGTTAATAATCACCTGTATCCCTTGTTTAATTTTACAAATACTGTCTCTAATTCATTGCCCACGCTCTCCCACAGAATTATGATTCTCCTTCCCGTATGTTTAAACATATCAGCGAGTCTATCAGCTTAATTCTTCTCTCAACTATCAAGGATAGTTCTTCTGGCCATCTTCTTTCCCTCATCAAGGCCACCTTGCCATTACCTGGGCAACCCTGTTTCCCTTGTTGTGCTACTATTTAATTTATTCTCTCCTTTTAGTAGAGTACATCCTCCAGTAGTTCTCTGAGAAATCATACATGTGAAATAAAAGACTACCTTGAATGTCTTATAATATCATTATTGGAACCTGGGTTCCCATTTGATTTGACCAAGGCTTAGCTTTTGGCTTTGTTAGGTCTCTTAAGTCAGTTGTCATCATTCATCTATGTTGTATCTTCCAAGATGTGATTGCTGGGTTTTGTTTGTTCTTAATTTTCTCTCTCTCTCTCTTTCTCTCTCTCTCTCTTTCCCCCCCCCCCCCCCCCCGCCGTGAGTTCAGACCTCTGATACTTCTACAGTCCTTTTAGTAAAGTTTTGGGTGAAAGAAAAGTTAAATGTATCTACATAATCTGTCATGTTTAATCAGAAGTTTGAATTACTTTTGTAATAAGAAAAGAACAAACCTACTTCCATAAATAAGCAGGGTTTGGCTCGTTGTTGACCACTCCCTCAAAAAACCCCTAACATATTTAAATATGCAATTATTGACTCTGGAGCCATAAGAACTCTGGAAAGTTCTCATGAACTTTCTACCTGATCAACTTAAAATAATCAGTCTGTAAACATGAGCTCTGAGATGCACTTTATAACACTGAGTGGGAACAGTAAGATATCCATCATTAAGTTTAAAAAAAAAAAAGAGCAAGTCACAAATCACGTATTTAATTGATGTTGCAACTTCTTTCTCAGTAATTGGGGCTTTGGGGGAACCTAAGAAAAACTGAAGACCAACCAGCTAAACATTTCCAGGAAGACTGATTATCTTGGGGCAGCCAAAGTTGCAAAAGCACCCCCAACCTGTCTCAAAGGTTTGCATTATTTTTATTCTATGAAACTCCCCCCTTAGTGTAACATTACCTAATGTTTCCCAACATTGGCTTGCTCCAGTACCTCACCTTTACCCTTGTATTAGCTTTCTATTGCTGTGTAACAAATTACTCCAAACTCATCAACTCAAAACAACACCCATTTATTATCCTCAATGATGTAGGTCAGAAGCACAGTATGCTGGATTCTCAGCTTAAGGTTTCACAAGGCCAAAACCAAGGTGTTGACTGGGCTGGGCTCTTATCTAGAGGCACTGGAAAAGAACCTGCTTCCAAGTTCATACACGTTTGTGACTGAACTCAGGTTCGTGCTGATGTTAAGTGAAGGTCTTTGTTTCCTTGCTGGCTACGTATTGGGGATTCCTCTCAGCCCCTAAAGGCTGTCAGGCTCTTTGGTATGTGGCTACTTCCATCTTCAAAGGCAAGAACAGCAAGCTGAATTCTTTTCATGATCTGAACTGGCTTCTGCTACCAGCCAAATAAAATGTTCTGCTTTTAAAGAGATTATGTGTTTAGATGAAGCCCACATGACAACGTAGTCATGGGAGTGATAAGATATTTATAGGTGTCACCCACACTCAAAGAGGAGAGGACTACACAGGGATGAGGGACACTGAGGGTCATTCTTAAAATTCTGCCTACCACATGACTTAGAAGTTGAGGGAACAATCGTAAGACTGTTGAGTGAAGCATATCACCAACCCTAAAACCCTTGCTCTGTCCTAGAAGATCTTCTCTCATCTTGGGAGTTTTTGATATTTTGCATGTTTTATCCATAAGCACTAGTAGAGGTTATTAATGTTCGTTAATAGCCTAGACCGTAAGCATTAACTAGACTATTAATGCTCAGGTTACTTTTTTATATCTAGCATAAATCGGACAACTAACAAATATCCAAAATTTCATAGGGAGAAGCATAAAAGCATTCCAAGACAAAAGGAGTACCCCAAGTTTTCATAGCTCAATCTCCAGGTCTCTTTTGGATCATACTCAGTCTTTCAGATCACCCAAAACCTCTGGCTTTTTCCAAGATTGGATGGAGAAAAAGGACTTATGTGACTTGGGGCGGAGGAAAGCCAAACTTTCTCAAATTCAAACACAGGTCCTGGGACTGTTCTCTGGCCCTTCTAGTCTCTTGGTTTTCCTGTTTTGCTAGGTTATCATTCATGCTTATCCTTTAGGAATCTTAAATTGAACACAGTAGTTAATAAACTTGGAGACTGGCCTCTCATAGCTTAGTCAGAGGCCAGTGGCCCTCCTTGCTGATTAAATCCCACTTGCCTATTATGAGCACATCAGATGATCCTCCCTGAGGTCCAGTCTTCCCATTGAGTTCCTGACCCAAAGAGTCCACTCTATAGCTGTCTATTCATATTCCACTTAGCCCCCTCCATGGCAACTCTCTGGTAGACTATCCGCTAAGAGTCTCAGATAAATTCTGCATCTCTTTGGGAGCAAGTGGGAACTCCTATGTTCTGTTCAAACTGAATGGGCTTAAGGGCACTAAATTAAGATCCTACCTCTTCCTAATCACTGCTACTTGACTACTGTCAACCTCCCCTTATCAGATTGGTGCAGGCAGAGCCTTTAAACTAAGTGAAATCTCACCAAAATTTCAAATGTGAAAACAAAAGCCCCTCTGCCCTCAGTGTTCCCCTCAATTTTATCTGAGGTATATTAATCTTGGAATTTCAGCCCACAGAATAAACTTGAAGACCTAGGTGATTTACATCAACCTCTTTCCTGCCTCTATTCTCTTTTCTTCTACCCAATCTTCCAAATATCACCCTTCCATTTTTTTTAAACCACTGTTTTTCAAACTGGAAACTATGACCCGTTGGTGTGGTATGAAATAAAGATGAATCAGACTACATTTTTAAATGGAATGACTAGAAAATATCAGAATGCAATTCAAGTAGTTGGATATGATTTATTCATAAAACGTTTGGTGTGTGTGTGTGTGTGTGCATGCTGTGTTGCAATATAAAATATATTACTAATTACAGGTTGTGGTTAAAAACATTTGAAAACACTATTATAAACATAACCTAAGTTTTCTATGCCCTACGTACATGAGAAAATATTATGATCTAATTAACCAGAACTATCTCATGAAATGTTAAAGTGATATGTATTTTGATATGCATAGTTCTGTGGCATTAAGTTTATGCACATTGTTGTATGATCATACCATCACCCATGTTCAGAACTTTTTTTAATCTTCCCAAACTAAAACTCTGTACCAGTTAAACAATCACTCCCCATTCTTCCTTCTTCCCAGCCCCAGATAACCACTATTCTTTCTGTCTTTATGAATTTGATGACTCTGGATATATCATATAAGTGGAATCATACAGTATTTGTCCTTTTATGACTGACTCATTTCACTTAGCATAATGCCCTCAAAGTTAATGCATATCATAATGTATCAGAAATTCCCCTTCTTTGATTCTCATTATATATTCCTAAAAAGACATAATTAAATTTAAAATTTGTTTCCCTTAGAAAAGATGTTAAGAAATATATATTCTCCATATTGTAAGTTCCTTTGATTGGTGTCAAATTGTTTAAATAAAGTTAATTTATTCCTCATCTTCCTGAATTTACTTGTGGGTAAAGGTGACTTAAAGGAGTGATAATTATTTGGAACTGGCCATGACCATGGTAAGTGTACCTATTTACAAACTCTCTTTCATTTGAAACTATACATTTACAGGACCATGCAGAGGAAGGCAGGGCCAGTATTTACCAGTCTGTCTTTACCAACTCTTCCAAAGAGATGATGTGTTTCCCAGACTTCCCATATCCCGATCACTTCCCTAACTTTATGCACAACAACAAGATCCAGGAATATATCACTGTATTTGCCAAGGAAAAGAACCTCCTGAAATACATACAATTTAAGGTAAGATGCTATCAAAAGATTAGATCAGGGCATAACTGTGAAGAATTCTATATTTATTATCAGATTCTTACTCGTTCTTTTCAGTATCTCTTTCTTAGTTGTCAACATTTTAAAAAAAAATTTTTATTTATTTTTGAGAGAGAGACAGAGTATGAGCAGGGGAGGGGCAGAGAGAGAGGGAACACAGAATCTGAAGCAGACTCCAGGCTCTGAGCTGTCAGCACAGAGCCTGATGCAGGACTCGAACTCACCATGAGAACATGACCATCTCGAACCATGAGATCATGACCTGAGCTGAAGTCAGACTCTTAACCTACTGAGCCACCCAGGTGCCCCTTGGTTGTCAAAATTTTTAAGAGTGTGGCCTCTCTGAACCCAGATTTAGAGAATACATTGGAAATTTACAAAATACCACATATCACATTTAGACTAAAATGCCATTAACTTAGATATCAATAAAGGGAAAAATAAATGTAAAACAGCCGTGAATTTATAAATGAAAAACTCCTTTTTTTTCTAAACAATTATGGGTCAAAGAAGAAACTAAAATAGAAATTTCAGATATTTAGAAAATTTAGATATTTAGAAAATTCAGATATTTATATCTGAATGATAACTTAAATTCTACATATCAACACTGTGGGAAGCATAGAGACCAAAACTTTAATGAAAATTATAAGCTTAAATGCTTATATTAGAAAATAAGAAAGTTGAAAAACTAACAAGATAAAGAAATTAGGAAAAGAAAAACAGAATAAGCCCAAAAGGATATAGAATGAACAAGGTAGTAAAGAGAACTTAATGAAATTTTAAAAACATCTTATGATGATTGAAAATTCATCCTTCGAAAAGCCAAAAAAACAAACAAAACAAAAACAAATAGCTGACAGTTTGAGGAAAAAGGAAAAGATACAAACAGATAATATTAGAAACAAAAACAATGGATAAAACTGATGCAGATGAAAAAAATATATATAATAAGAAAACTATAAAAGCATTGCCAAATAATGTTTAAATTGGTTAAATTTTAAAATCTTTTTTATTTTAAACTTTCCAAAACTCGCATAAAAAGAAGTAGAAAGTCTGAATAGTCCTTTCCTTTGGTAACTTAGAGTTCTTTTGACTCAGAAACCAAAATTTTACCCATTAAAAAAATATTCTATAGGTAGTTCCAAATTTACAATGAACAAACTATTTCAATATTTTATAAACTCTTCCAGAGACTAAAAAATAAAGTATGACTTCCAAACTTATCCCATGACATTATAACCATGACATCAAAAGCAGACAAGATTAATAGGAAATAGGAAAATTATAGGCATAGCTCCCCATGAAAATTGGTGGGAAAAAAACCTTCAAAAATGAATTCAGCAAAATATTTTTAAAAATTAACTATCTTCATTGAGATATGTTTGGGCTAAGGATACAGAGAATTTTAATATCATGCAGCAGAAACATGTAATTCAGTATAAAACCCTGTTACAGGAAGAAAACCATACATTTACCAAATTCTGAAAAGTAAAATTTAACATCTATTTCTACCTAAAAGAAAGAAAAAGAGAAAAGCAAAGAAAAAAAGTTTCACCAGACTAAGATTAGAAAGGAATTTTCTTGACCCATGGAAACATACAAACATCTTAAATGTGCACTGTTCAGTATAGTAATCACTAGCCCAAAATTGAGATGTACTAGAAGCATAAAATAACACCCTGGATATCAAAGTCTTATTATGGAAAAGAATATAATATACCTATTAACAATGTTTATGTAGGTTACTTATTAAAACAACAAAACATCAGATAGATTGGATTAAATTATACATTTTTTTCTATTTTAATGTGACTACTAGAAAATGTTTAATTACATACGTTGTTCGTGTTATATTGCTACTGGACAGTGCTGTGCTAAAGAGTGCAGAGTTGGAATCATTTCCTTTAAAATCCAGAACAAAACAAGGATTCTTATTATTACTACTTCTTTTCAATAGTCTTAAGAAATTTAAGAAACAGTACGGCAAGTAAAGAAACATAAGTAAAAGGAATGACAACTAGAAAAAAAACAGCATTCATCACAGATGATATGACTTTCTATATGGAAAACCCAAAAAGAATCTAGAGACGAATTACTAGGTTTAATAGCAATTAATATAAAAATATTGGGCAAGGTGGTAGTATATAAGATCAATATATACAAATCAGTTGCAATTCTGTAAACCAGCTGCAACAAACAGAAGATATAATCCAAAAAGGAACCATAAATAAATTCATAATCCCAGAGTTATTCTAAACAAATGATATGCAAGACCTCATGAATTTATAAGTGCTTGTTTTGTTATATTTCATAAAAACAAAGATATTATACAGATATGTGTAGACATATTGTTTAATATGAATGAAATTCTATACATAATAAAGTTGATAAGAACAATTCAACTCTTGATCTCAGGGTCATGAATTCTAGCCCCACAGTGGATGTGGAGCCTACTTTAAAAAAAAGAAAGAAAAAAGAACAATTCATATCAAATAGAGATTCTCTTTCCAATATAACCAGAAGAATTGAAAAAAAAATTTGAAGAGGAAACGTACCAACCAACAGGCAGCCATTCAGCTGTGAATAAATATTTATTGATAATCTAATCCAGTGCGACTCAATGTATGGGCCAAATAGCATTAAGATCACCTGGGAACTTGTCAGAACATCAAATTTTCATGTCCTGTGCCAGACGTACTAATTCAGAATATCTAGGAATGTGGCCCAGGAGTCTGTACTTCGACAAGCTTTCCAGGGAATCCTTGTGCACACTAAAATTGAGAACTTATGCTATGAATATAGACAGTATCTTTCACTCCAAGACAACAATGATATTAAAAAATAAAATGGAAGAGGTATATTAGGAGGTAGTTGTTACTACAAAAACTATCATCCTGGGGCGCCTGGGTGGCTCAGTCAGTTAAGCGTCCGACTTCAGCTCAGGTCACGATCTCGCGGTCTGTGAATTCGAGCCCGTGTCAGGCTCTGGGCTGATGGCTCAGAGCCTGGAGCCTGCTTCTGATTCTGTGTCTCCCTCTCTCTCTGCCTCTCCCCCGTTCATGCTCTGTCTCTCTCTGTCTCAAAAATAAATAAAAAACGTTAAAAAAATAAAAACAAAAAAACAAAAACTATCATCCACTAGATTACTCAGTATGTGTGATACATGCCAGTTGTAAGCTGTGATTAAATTCACATCATATCTCCAAGAGGGGAGTCACTCTGGTCTGCAGAACATGTTGGTTATGCACAAGAAGCCATGTGAGGACAAAAATATGTATTTACCATTTAATGTTTGATTTTCTTGAATTTTAAATTCATAATATGTACCTTAAGAATGAATTAAGTATTTTTCCTAATCCAATGTTAACAATTTTTTTCCATACTACTCTATCAAGTTGGTGCCAAATCTAACTGTTAGCATAGAAAAGAAGTCTGTCTTTATTTCTTTTAGACACTCGTATCTAGTGTAAATAAACGTCCCGATTTCTCAGTCACCGGCCAATGGGATGTTACCACTGAAAGGGATGGTAAAAAAGAATCCACTGTCTTTGATGCTGTATTAATTTGTTCTGGACACCACGTGTACCCCAACCTACCAAAAGAGTCCTTTCCAGGTAAGGGTGAAATTTAGGCTGCCATCTATATATTTGGCACGAATGACTATCTTGATTGTGTTTAAAAAAAAAAAAAAAAAAAAAAAAAAATATATATATATATATATATATATGATTAAATTAACATATGCTTCTATTATATGTAATATTCCTGGAGTGTTGAAGTTCCATATCATTCTGACTGCATTCACCTACAAGCCTTTTATAGCGGATTTTTAAATGGAAACCAAATGACTCATGTTTGCCACTTTTCACTCAGAACTAAAACTTTTTAAAGGCAAATGCTTCCACAGCCGGGAATACAAGGAACCAGGAATATTCAAGGGGAAGCGAGTCCTGGTGATTGGCCTGGGAAACTCGGGCTGTGATATTGCCACAGAACTCAGCCGCACAGCTAAACAGGTATTATTTCTCAGGTACTCGGGGAACTATCTTTAAAGGAACAGAAATAGTTACCACTGGAAAGATGTGTTAGCAAACCGGGGGCAGGGGAAGCAGCAGTGCACAGGGTTCTTGACAGGAAGACTAAGTAGTGTTTCTTTTATCTCAGCTTCCCTCCACAACAGGTGAGGTTTTCAATAGTTTGGTCTGACAAAGGCAGATCATCAGCAGGGAGTGAGGTCATTCAACAGTCGTCTTCTTCAGGACGTTTGGTGTCTAACAGGTGTCTAATCAATTCCTCCAAAGCTAGTGTGGATGTAGGGTTAAGGTCATGACTCTGATACTCTTGGGTCAAGTCCTTCAATCCCTCCAAGTGTCAGTTTTCTCATAAAGATAAATAAAACAGATAAAAAGAGAATCTACTTTGCGATTTTGGTAAGGAGTCAAAGAATTTAATTCTTTAAAAGTGTTTATTTTTGAAAGAGAGACAGAGTGCCAGTGGGGGCAGGGGAAGAGAGAGGGAGACACAGAATTTGAAGCAGACTCCAGACTCTGAGCTGTCAGCACAGAGCCCGACACGGGGCTCGAACCCACGAACTGTGAAATCATGACCTGAGCGAACTCAGATGCCTAACTGCCTGAGCCACCCAAGCGCCGCAGGAGTTAAAGCATTTAAACATGATTTCAGCAATACCGAGTTCTATAGTCATTCATGCATACAGTCATCCCCATAGTTATTTGTTGAGGGCCTACTATGTGCCTCAACTAATGCTTAACCAAGCACTGGCTTGGGTGCTGGAGAGAAAGTGGTGAACAAAACAGGCATGACACCCACCCCAGAACTGAGTCTAGGGTGGAAAACAGACATTAAAGAAGTAAATGCACAAATAATTTGAAAATTGTGAAAAGTGCTAGTAAAGAAAGAAAAAGCATGCTGTAAGAGTGGATAATCAGGGTGAGCTGCCTCAGACAAGAGTGGAAAGGCTCTTTTCAGCTGATGACATTGAAGCTGAGGACTAAAAGTTGAGGAAGGGGCTCAGTGTCAGAAGAGGACTCCGGGAACAGAAGACCAGGGGGGAGAGGAAGGGGAAAAAAAAAAGAAAGTTACAGAGAGGGAAGTAGGCAAACCATAAGAGACCCTTAAATAGTGAGAACAAACTGAGGGTTGATGGGGGGGTGGGAGGGAGGGGAGGTGGGTGATGGACATTGAGGAGGGCACCTGTTGGGATGAGCACTGGGTGTTGTGTGGAAACCAATCTGACAATAAATTTCGCATAAAAAAAAAAGAAGACAAGGATTCCAGGAAGAAGGTCTTGAAGCAGGAAGAAGCTTAGAGTCTCAAGAAACTGAGGAAAGACCCCTTTGCTGCAACTCAGTAGGTCTGGAAAAGAATGGTAGGAGGAGAGGTTGGAGAGGAGACGGAGTAGAGGTGATACAGGGCCCGTAAGGTCACGGGAAGGAGTTTGAACATACATTGCCTACTAGCCTTGAAAGATTCTAGAAGCCCACAGACAGGAATCTTTTTCTTTTTTTTTAAATGTTTATTTTTGACAGAGAGGGAGAGACAGAGCATGAGCGGGGGAGGGGCAGAGAAAGAGGGAGAGACAGAATCCGAAGCAGGCTCCAGGCTCTGAGCTGTCAGCACAGAGCCTGACGCGGGGCTCGAACTCACAGACTGCGAGATCATGACCTGAGCCAAGGTCGGACACTCAACCACCGAGCCACCCAGGCGCCCCCACAGACAGGAATCTTCTCTCTAGATGCTATGCCTACTGATGTGATAGCATCCTCAACATAAGTCTATTTTAAATGATGGTATTGCCATGAGTGAAACAAGGAGGTCATGACAGGATAAATGGCATAAAAATATATTCCTATTTGCCTGCTCAAAGCACTATACTAGACAGCATAGAGACACAGAGAAGTCAACTTTGTGTCCCCTCTCCTCCAAGAACTTCAAATGTGCTTGGGAAAATAATACCTCGATGGGATATAAATTAAACATAACCTCAAGAGTTAGGTGGAAAGCCTAACAACGTAACAACAGCACAAGAGGCCACCAGGACAAAGGCTGCCCCGGTGATTCAGGAACTAACTGCTCTGATCATGGAACTGGAGGCCTCACCAAGTGGGCAGACCTGCACCAGACCTTGAAGGATATTTATGAGTCATATGGTTGACGAGGTAGCAAAGGGAGTTCTTGCAGGGCGCCTGGGTGGCTCGGTCAGTTAAGCAGCCAACTCTTAATTTCGGCTCAGGTCACAATCTCATGGTTCATGAGATCAAGCCGCCTGTCGGGTTCTGCGCTGACAGGGAGGAGCCTGCTTGGGATTCTCTCTCTCTGCCCCTCCCCCACTCACACTCTGTCTCTGTCTCTCTCTCAAAAATAAACAAACATTTGAAAAAAAATTTTTTACGCATTGGATGCTTAACCAACGGAGCCACCCAGGTGCCCCGATAAAAAAAATTCTGTAAAAATGCCTGAAAATCTATACCATTAGGGATGATCATGACAGAAGGGGAGGAAAAGAATACATCCTCCATGTCAGGCAATGGTGGTCATACTGCATGGCTAGCACACTGCATCAGCTCTCCCACAGATTTGATGTGGCGGGTACCTATTATCTCCATCTTACAAATGAGGAAACTGAATATTAGAGAAGTTAAAGGAATTTGCCACAAATCACGTTATTAGTAAGTAGGAGAGCCAAGATTTGAGCCTATGGTTTTCAGATGCCAGATGTCTTTCTTGCCTTCTTTCAGGATGGGGAAAGGCATTTTAAGTCGAAATGCCTATTCGGGGGTCATAATTGCTTGGTTGTAGACAATGGTTACCAGCTAAGCACTAGAGGAAATGGGATGAGAATTTAGGTATTGGGCACCTCCATCAGAGGAGATGACAGGGTGGTTGGTCCTGAGATGTAGATAAGACGCAGGAAATTTACTTGGGAGATGAGAGAGCCAAAGGAAGGATGCTTCCCTTTACACTACTCCAAAGCTACACTTCTGACTTGTCGCCAGTTGGGATGAGAGACCAGGTATCAAACAGTCACTGAAGGCAAGAAATACAGAAAGGGCATAAGACTTTGGGTGAGGCCCTCTTTTCAACCAAAGCAATTCTCAAAGAGGGCTGACAGCCGAAAGCCATGAGACAACACTCACACTAGCTGCTGTGACAACTCCCCAACTCCCCTCAGACCCGAGGGACATACCACAATACCCACTACAAACAGTCACTGCTCTAATGGTTAAAAATTGCTGTTTTTTTAAGGTCATCATCAGTTCCAGAAGTGGCTCCTGGGTGATAAGCCGGGTCTGGGATGATGGTTATCCATGGGACATGGTGTTGGTCAATCGATTTGAAACCTTCCTCAAGAACAACTTGCCAAAAGCCATCTCTGACTGGTGGTACAAGAAGAAAATGAATGCAAAATTCAAGCACGAGAACTATGGTTTGATGCCTTTAAATGGGTAAAGCAGAGTTAAATATGATATGCCTGTTACTTGCATTTCAGTGTCAACAATTCACAATGTGTGTTGTTGTAACTCCCAAACCAACCAAAATAATATTAGTGAAGCAATCATGTCTCACATTTCAGAGGATGAAGAACTGCAAACATTTGGAGTTATTTCCCATTTCACATTCCTTCCTCCCATATTTGCACAGCTGGAAAGTTATACACGTCCCTAGAGTCCCTAGAGAATTAGTCCCTAGAGTAACGATAATATTTGACATGTTTTAAGCTCTTAATGCAGCCCAGCAAGGCTCTCACGTGCATTATCTCATTTTATCCTCACAACAATTACTACATCTCTATTATAATGCCCATTTTAAAGATGAGAAACTGAGGTTCAATGTAGTTACTAGCTTTGCCAAAGTCCCATAGGCAGAAGGCAGAAGCAGTATTCAAAATGAGCCCAGATCTGCTGACTCCAGAGCTTCTCGCTCTCAGCCACCTTGCTCTCCTGCCTCTCACTTCATGGAAAAGTTCAGTTAAGCAAAGCAGGGCTTTCCCTGTGCTGCACTCTCATCACCCACCCTTAACAGAGTCCTCCCACTGCAATGTGGTCACAATGTCTGCCTCTTCAGCCTCCTCCTCACTCTTCCCTATCATATCCCCCTAGATATAGCCCTCGGGCACATAAGAAATTACCTTGACATGGAGTGAAAAATCCAAATTATAAACTGTTTACATCAAAGTTAACTTACTCAACAAATATTTATTAAGCGTTTATTGTGTGTCAGGTCCTATATTGAGCCCCATGACTGTAGTTGTGAAAAGACATTCAAAATCCCTGTCTTCACGAGCTTACCTTCTGGCAGTGGGAAACAGACAGGAGACAGATAGCAGAAGACCATGTGCTGATGTGTACTATGAAGAAAAGAACAAAGAAGGCAGAGGTGATGGGGAGAGCTGTCAGCATTCCCAGAGGAGGCCTCACTGAGGAGGGGACTTTTAAGTAAATCCCTGAAGGAACTGAGGAACTGAGCCAGGGGAGTGTCTGGGGGAAAGTATTCCAGAGGAAATAGTTAGGGCATTGCCTCTTCAGGGCCATGACTGCCATGTTCAACAAACTGGCGTGTTCAATGGACTTCTCTCCATGGGGAAAAGAGGATGGGGAGAGTAAGAGTAGTAGGAGATAAAACCAAAAGACATCAAAATGGCCAGATGGCATTGCACCTTGTAAGCCATTGTAAGGACACTGGCTTCTACTCTAAATGCAATGGAAAGCCATAACAAGCATCTGACAAGATCCAAGTTAATTTGAAGAAATCACTCTGGACCTGTGGTCATCATTCAGTGTATAGAGGTAGGTCAAGGAAGGAAGCAAAAAGACTAGTTAAGAGGCTATTGTCAAAAACCCAGATGACAGAGGCTGGTGGCTTAGACTAGGCTTGTTAGCAGCAAGTGCTTAGAAATGGTCAGATTTGGGATATACTTTAAAGGTAAACCCAAATAGGATTTTCTGTTAGGTTGGCTAACAGATGTAAGAACAAGAAAAGAGTTCGGAGATGTATTCCAAACTCTTGAGCTGAGCAAGGATGCGAGGGTGGAGTTGACAGTTTTTATGGGATGTGGAAGACCATGGGAGAAGCAAAGTTTAGTTTGAAACATCTCAAAATTGAAAGGCCTATGAGTCATTGTGAGTCATCATTGTAGAAGAATGTTGAGCAGGCTTGCGATACACAAGACAAGAAAGACTCAAACCATAAGTTAAAAATGCAGATTCACCAGAGTATAGATAGTACTTTAAGAAATGAAGCCAGATGACATCTCTTGAAAGGTGAATGTAGATGAAGAAGACAAAAGGTCTGAAGGCTGAGTCCTGGGGCATGTCATTGTTCAGAGAGAGGCCAGGAAGAGGAGAGTTCAGTGGGAGACAGTAATAAAGAATAGCAGGTGGATAGGAAGGGAATTGAGAGAGTGATGACCTGAAAGCAAAATGAAGGCAGTGTTTCAAGGAGGAAACCATCAACTGCATCCAACGCCACTGATAAGTTGAGTAAGATGACAAGTGACAATGGATCATTGGATCTGGCAGTTTGAGGATCTTGGTGGCCTTGACAAGAGCAGGAGGCTCATACCTCACCCTCTATTAGAAACCCGGCCAGGATCTTTGTCTTATTTCCATCTCCCAATGACCCGAGGTGGGCATAACAGTTAACTGCTGCTCCAGATGAGAAAGATGAAGCAAGATAAATTAAGAAACTTTCATTTGATCAAGGTTCACAGTTAATAAGAAGTGAAGAAAAAAATCCAAATACCCCTGGACTCTGATTTAGGATCTTGCCTGACAAAGCTTTCACAGGGGATAGGGCCCAGGTGATTAATTCTGAGATCTGGAGCTCTGTGGGAGAGAAAAGATCACAGGAAATAGAGAAAGGTGTGGCAAAGGCAACTTTTCTTAATTCACAACATTGCCTTACTTCAGTTTTGTTCTCCAGTCATATTGGTAACACTCCATGGCACAAGAAAAAAATCTTGGGTAGTTTTCTCCTTTCTTCTTAATTGATTATTAATTAATTATTATGGACCAATAAAACAAAGAGGAAATATTACCATTCTAGTGGCTGTCTCTATTTTCCATACAGAACCCTGAGGAAAGAACCTGTGTTTAACGATGAGCTCCCAGCCTGCATTCTGTGTGGCACAGTGTCCATTAAGCCTAATGTCAAAGAATTCACAGAGACTTCGGCCATTTTTGAGGATGGGACAGTGTTTGAAGCCATCGACTGTGTCATTTTTGCAACAGGCTATGGTTATGCCTACCCCTTCTTTGATGAGTCTATCATTAAGAGCAGAAACAATGAGATCACCTTGTTTAAAGACATTTTCCCTCCTTCACTGGAGAAGCCAACCCTGGGAATAATTGGTTTGGTCCAGTCCCTTGGGGCTGCCATTCCCACAGTTGACCTGCAAGCTCGCTGGGCAGTAAAAGTAGTAAAAGGTAAGTAGACAGGGGTGCCTAGGTGGCTCAATTGGTTGAGCATCCGATTCTTGATATCAGCTCAGGTCTCAGTCTCATGGTCATGAGTTCAGCCCCCATGTTGGGCTCTGTGCTGACAGAAGGAGCCTGCTTAGGATTCTCTCTCCCTCTCCCTCTGCCCCTACCTGGCTCATGCTCTCTCTCTCTGTCTCTGTCTCTCTCTCAAAAATAAACAAATAAACTTTTTTTTTTAAAAAAAAGGTAAGTAGACAAACAAGGTCATTAATGGGGAAGATGGATGCCAATAAAAATGCCTTTGAGTCTTTGTGAAAACAATCATCCTAATAACAAGGGGAAAATTCTAGGTCCCATCTGGTTTTGAATCTATAATTCTATATTTTTAGTATTGTATTTTATAAGCAATTAAAAATATTACATTGGATTATCATATGCAATAGTACAAGATATTATTCAGGGAGTATTTTGTGATTTATAACTCTTTAAAGTGGCTGACTTTCATTAAACTTAAGAACACCAGAGCTTTTGGTCTTAAATGCATGACAATTTTATAAAATTATGATTTCAAAACTCAACAGAATGACATTGCTTAAAAGGTTCATAAGAGATGTTTCCAAGCCAATATCCAGCCAGCTTCCAATATCCACACTCATGGAAGAAATTATGATTGCTGGAAAGGCAGTGTTTTTTTTTTTGTTTTTTTGTTTTTTTTGTTCTTTTTCCCTGCCGTGTGTCAGATAAGAACAAGCAATGGATCATTAGAAGCAGAAAGTCCTAGATGTATAGATGACCAGTCTCTAAGGTAGGGAAATACTGAGTTCCTGTATTAAAAAATAATAATAACAACAACAAACTTGATTGGGGTCAGGTATGGAAAGCAGTCAGCATCCTCCAGCAGAAGATACGAGGATCAGATTCCCACTAAGGTTTAAATGCAGTCGTGCGAAGATTCAAATCATAAAACCAAAAGTCCATGGTTAAAGAAATTGCATGTGCGAAGTTTGTTTGGTCCTAGAGGTATAAAACTTCTGGAAAGAGATTTTAGCAGGCCTACTTCCTTCGAAGCCCTATGTAAGGCTTCCAGTCCTACTTGACATGCTGGAATTTAAATGTTCTTTTATACAGGAGGTTGGAACCTTCCACTAGGTATACTGAGACACCTTTCATCCCCCAGGCTGTCATCCACATCATTACAGTCATGCATATCAGTGATCTCTTTAAATTTCCTTCACTCTTTCATCCAAGGCAGAAATATGTTGCAGTGTGAATGTTGCAGCAGTGAGGCAGCAGCCAGGAAGGTGATGACAAGAAATCCCACTAGGAATAAAGTGAGCTTAAGGTTCAAGGCTCAGGGAGACTGGCATTAGAGGGTAGGACACTTATTCTGTTAAGATAAGTTGTAATCTGGGCTCTGATGAAAGGAGGCAATGATCCAAGGCAAACACTCAGTCTAAGGGGAAATGAATGATAAAGCAAATAATTCAGTTTGGGGGAACCCAAGTACAGGACAGAGGGGCCAGTTACAGGCAACCCAATGATAGTAGCTGGTGGGCTACTGAGCAGAAGCTCTTCCTTCTTGATCTTCCTTCTGCCCAGGACAGAACAGGTTCCAAGTTTTGGAACAAGGTCATACCTAAAGAGGCTGTTCAAGGGACCCTATCTGTAAGGTTTGCAGGAACAGGAAGTTAGGCAATCATGGTATGTTTCTGAGCAATCAGATCTGGGCATTCTAGTCTTGTTCAAGGTGATCCCAAAATTACCAAAGAAACCACCCTAAATTTGAAGTATCTATGGGCACAAAAGAATGTTTTGGTATGGGTTTCAGAGAAGTGTGCTAACTATTCCAGAATGAGCCTGAAATCCTAGAGCAGTCCCAACTCGGATCTGGTCTCTAGGGGCTTGCCCATGTTCTTGGTGACTTGTGCATAATCCATATCCTCCGTCTCACCTAGGAACTGTTGGCTCTTCAGAGAGAAACTTGGGGCTTGACTAAATTCTACATTTTATGTGTTGGAAATTCCTTTTTCTAACAAAGGAGGATAGTTTCCTATGAAGGTTTATTTTCTTATATCTTAAAAAAGAGATGCCAATTTACCTTTGGCTATAAACTATTAGATAACATTCTTTAAAAAATACTACTGAGAGACTAGAATATAATCCTTGACACTGATTTTAAACATCTTCTAACTTGTTTAACAGCAAAGATACAAAGATAAAATGCTATATGGCTCTTGGTTTTTAATTATGTGACACCTCAATTCTGAGAAGACTGGAAATGACTTGTGTATTTGTCTCAAAATGACCGCCTGTTGATCGGCTCAAGATTTTACTTTGCTAGACAACGACCCCCCCAAAAATGGAAATACTGATGTGATTCATAACCCATTATTAAGAAGAAAACATTGCAGGCTGATCTTATGCCAGACTTATTTAACTATTATCATATCTTTCCCTTTATCTTTTCTTTTGTTTTAGGAACTTGCACTTTGCCTTCTGTAACAGACATGATGAATGATATTGATAAAAAAATGAGGGAAAGGCTCAAATGGTAAGAGCATCTATTGTACAGAGGGTCTAGGGTTTCCATAGAAAAAAATGTGAATAATTGGAACTACTCTAGTCTTACATGGTCCAGAGTGAGGTCATTAGCGTGACAGCTATGAGTTAAATTCATCCATTCCACAAGTATTTATGGAAGATTTCCTTTGCACCTGACATGGTACTCGGTCCTAATCCATCCCTCCATAGATCCTGCAATATATCACAGAAAGAAGACCCAGAACGGATTAGAAATCAGAGGAGTCTGGGAGTGCATGAATGTGGGCTCCTATTTTCCAGTCTATAAATCCTGTAAGATACAGAGGATGCCCTCCAAATGGATGGCTCTAATGAACAAGAGTCAGCAAATGAGAATAACCAGGGTAATTGAGCTCTAGTCTATCTCTGTCACTAATTAGCTCAGTGGCCATGCATGAACTTCATGAGCAAGAGGCAATTTCCACTTATGAACGGGGATAAAAATGCCTTTCAGTTGCTGTGCAGTCTTGGGAAATGTCCAGTTGAGGTCGGTATGCAAGTCTCTTGGAAAGCTACCAAAGCACAGAATAAATGAGCAAGGTCTCCTTACCAACACAAGGGATTGACATTGAGTCCCTCTGATAAAAAGCTGTAAGGAATTTTCCCCTGTTCTTGTTCCTGTGAGACGTCCTACATAGAGCTTCAGTATCCACAGACCTGTTTCCTCTCCCACCTCTAGGTTTGGCACCAGCAACACCATGCTGACAGATTATATTAATTATATGGATGAGCTTGCCTCCTTCATTGGGGCAAAGCCCAACATCCCGTGGCTGTTTCTCACAGATCCCAAATTGGCTGTGGAGGTTTTCTTTGGCCCTTGCAGCCCATACCAGTTTAGGCTGGTGGGCCCAGGGAAGTGGCCAGGAGCCAGGAATGCCATCCTGACCCAGTGGGACCGGGCCCTGAAACCCATGAAGACAAGAGCGGTTGGAACCCCCCTGAAGCCTTGCTTGCTTTGCCGTTGGGTCAGGCTTCTTGCTCTTCCCATTCTGGTTGTTGCTATTTTCCTGGCTTGGATCCAATGATCATTCTCCCCAAGATGTTGAAAGTTACTGAGAATACCTGGGGCGGGGCGGGGGGGGGGGACTTTTCTATTTAAAAATTAAGAATTTCACACCTCCTACTTCCCTATTCAGCAGGCATTAGTCAGTAAAGCAGTACTATTTCTAGGCTTTTAAATAAGCCTCTTTAAGAAGCATGCCATGACCTAAAGAGAGCATTAATCATTTCTTTTTAGTTTCCACTAACATTTCATAATCAGAACTATGGTCTTCATCTCTAACCTCAATCGTCTCCTGAAACATTTTGACATAGTTCCTCTTCTCCTTTACACAAGGTTTAAAATACATACTTCAAACCTAAACAAAGAGCAAATTCAGCAGAGTAGTTGTGATATTCTCAGGCCACCTCTACAAACCATTTGCAGGAGGCTCAAGTAGGGAATTTGGCTATTAATTCTATTTTTGTGTTATGCCATATCCTCCAGGCAATATGTCCTGTTCCTGAGCCTCCATAGCATGGACACCTGGTTTATAATGAAAATTAACAAGAAGTAACTCATCATATTTATATTCTCAACAAGGACACAAACATAGCAGCAAAATAATACCAACAAGGAGTAGAACACCACATATACCATTAGCTGAATGAAAAGTCTTCAAATATTTAGTCAAAGTCATGACAAAAATTTAGTACTGCCTTTATAACATCAGCTTCTGGAGTATCAGCATAAATCTAAAGTTTTGCTTTTTAGGGGCATCTGGGCGGCTTAGTTGGTTAAGCATATCACTTCAGCTCAGGTCATGATTTCATGGTTTGTGAGTTCAAGCCCTGCTTCGGGCTCTGTGCTGACAGCTGGAAGCCTGGAGCCTGCTTTGGATTCTGTGTTCCCCTCTCTCTCTGCCCCTCCCCCACTCATGCTTTATCTCTCAAAAATAAATAAGTGTTAAAGTTTTATTTTTAAAAGTATTATTAGATTTCATAGCTAAAATTTTAATAGTTAAAAGTTTTAAGTTTGACATTATAGAGTAGATAAAATAATCTGGCCGTGTCATCAGTTACCAGAGGCCTCTATAGGTGGTTACACCACCTTTTTCTTACTACATGTTCACTTCTGAGGCCAGTGGAATGGCAAGATAGTAGATATATGTTAGATAGATAGATAATAGATAGATAGATAGATAGATAGATAGATAGATAGATAGATGATAGATAGATTATAGATTATAGATAAATGATAGATAATAGATGGATATATAGATGATAGATAATAGATAGATAATTGATTAGATAGATAGATAATAGATGATTGATAGATGATAGATAGATATACAGATGATAGATTGATGATAGATAGATAGATGATAAATAATAGATAATTGATTAGGTAGATAGATAGATAGATAGATAGATGATATATTGATGATAGATAGATAGGTGATAGATAATAGATGACTGATTAGATAGATAGATGATAGATTGATGATAGATAGATGATAGATTGATGATAGATAAATACATAGCTAGATGACAGATAATAGATGATAGATACATGATAGATAATAGATTATAGATATAGATAGATAAAGATAGAGATGATAGAGATAGAAATAGAGATAGTTAGAGATGATAGAGATAGACAGAGACAGAGATAGAGATCTGTAAGAAAGGGGCAGGAGAGGGGCGCCTGGGTGGCGCAGTCGGTTAAGCGTCCGACTTCAGCCAGGTCACAATTTCGCGGTCCGTGAGTTCGAGCCCCGCGTCGGGCTCTGGGCTGATGGCTCGGAGCCTGGGGCCTGTTTCCGGTTCTGTGTCTCCCTCTCTCTCTGCCCCTCCCCCGTTCATGCTCTGTCTCTCTCTGTCCCAAAAATAAATAAACGTTGAAAAAAAAAATTAAAAAAAAAGGGGGCAGGAGACCACATTTTTCTGTAATACTTTGTTCTTTTTATTTTTAATTCTCTTTATATGTTTATCTTTGGATCTAAGATTTATCATGGAGGTACACAATTTTTTTACAGTATAATTTTACTTTTTTTGAATTCTACCATTTATTTTTTTAATATGAAATTTATTGTCAAATTGGTTTCCATACAACACCCAGTGCTCATCCCAACAGGTGCACTCCTCAATGCCCATCACCCACCCACCCCCTCCCTTTCACCCCCATCAACCCTCAGTTTATTCTCAGTTTTTAAGAGTCTCTTATGGTTTGGCTCTCTCCCTCTCTAACTTTTTTTTTTCTTCCCCTCCCCCATGGTCTTCTGCTAAGCTTTTCAGGATCCACACAAACGTGAAAACATATGGTATCTATCTTTCTCTGTATGACTTATTTCACTTAGCATAACACTCTCCAGTTTCATCCACGTTGCTACAAAAGGCCATATTTCATTCTTTCTCATTGCCAAGTAGAAACTGATGAATGGATAAAGAAATTGTGGTTTATATACACAATGGAATACTACTTGGCAATGAGAAAGGAGGAAAACCATTTTAAATATATCCCTTACCCTAATTGTTTAAGGTAGCAAAGTAACATTCTGCTGTTAAGGTCTTCTCACAAGATGTGAAATATTCTCAAATGTTCCCAAGTGAAACAGAACTTTTCTTAAAACCGTGTGGCCTCAATAGAATCAAATAACTAAAAATTAAATATAGCCCATGGAGGGGTGCCTGGGTGGCTCAGTTGGTTAAGCATCTGACTTAGGCTCAGGTCATGAACTCCAGGTATGGTGAGCCCGAGCCCCACATCGGTCTGTCTGCTGTCAGCACAGAGCCCGCTTCAGTCCTGTTTCCCTCCTCTGCCCCTGCTCCGCCTCTCACATGCTCTCTCTCTCTCTCTCGCTCTCTCAAAAATAAATAACCATTTAAAAAAAATTAAATATAGCCCATAGAATTTATGTTATTTGGTGTTATCAATGCTATTACATGAAATAAATTGAAGATAAAATTGATATAATCCAACTTCTGTTATTCTTCCTCATATGATTATTTAAATTTATGTAAACATCGGGGCACCTGGGTGGCTCAGTCAGTTAAGCGTCCAACTTTGGCTCAGGACAAGGTCTCGTGGTCTGTGAGTTTGAGCCCCGCGTTGGGCTCTGTGCTGACAGCTCAGAGCCTAGAGCCTGCTTCGGATTCTGTGTTTCCCTCTCTCTCTGTCCCTCCCCCACTCACAGTCTGTCCCTCTCTGTCTCTCAGAAATGAATAAACGTTAAAAAAAATTTTTTTTAATTTATGTAAACATCAAGGGCTCATAAAGAATACAATATTCTTCCTAAGCTAATGTAGCCAACATGTTCCCTAAATGATGGTATTAACGTCAATCAACTTCCGTACTAAATTGGACTATTGCCAATGTCTTACTTCTATACATAACAGTAAGGATTTTCAATCATTCATTTTTGCATGCTTTACTGATAACATTAAATATATATTTATACCTCAACAGACATACAATCTGAACATATGGAGCCAAAAGATCTTTTACTCCCAGTTGTATCTCAAATTTCTTACCAGGACTTAAAAGTGCATAGTCAGATATTAAAAATACAAACAGGGGTGCATGGGTGGCTCAGTTGGTTAAGCGTCTGACTTGATTTTGGCTCAGGTCATGGTTTCTGGGTTCATGGGACTGAGCCCCACATCAGGCTCTGTGCTGACAGCATGGAGCCTGCTTGGGATATTTCTCTCTCTCTCAGTCTCTCTCTCTCTCTCAAAAACAAATGCACTTAAAAAAATACAACCAGCTAAAAATTGTCTTTGTGCAGCTATGCTGTTCAGATCTGAAGCTAATCTGCATGATCACACCCAGGTTTCAGGATGGGAGGAAGGACTTTGAAGCGGACCTTTGGCTCTTCAGCCTTCTAGAGATTTCAAGCTTAGCCAAATACCGAGGCCAAAGGCAAACTTCAGTGTATACATCTGCCAATCTTCTCCTCATTTCTCTGTTCCTTCCTTGCTCTTTCCTCTGTATCTTCCTCTTCTTTCTTGTTATTATTCTTACTTCTCTCTCCCTTTTTCTTTCTCTAACTTCTTTGTCTTCCTTTGTCCTCTTTGTTCTTTCTTTTGCCTTCTCCTCTAGCAGGAATGATCAGAGGTGGGAATATTCGCTTTGAAGGACTCTTGGGTCTTCTGGGATGGTGTCCCAGATGGTACCCCAAGTGGTCTTTCAAAAAGTGAGCATATTCCCCCAGATGCAACTATCTAACCAAATTCAACATTACATGAGACCTAACCTCACCATTCATTCTAGTCACTGCTCAAATGCCAATCTGTATAAAAATACAATCCTTTGTCACTCTCTGCCTCCTGTCCTGCGTTTTTCCTTGTGGCATCTGACACAGTCACTTTGTGTTTGTGAGTGGTCTGTCCCCTCACTAGAAGCCAGCTCTGTGAGGGCAGAAACATTTTGTCCATGGCTGTTCCCCCAGTGCTTAGAACAGTATCTGGCACCTAGAAAGCAGCCAATAAATATTAGCTATTCTCTTTGAAAACAGGTGTTATTCATCAGTCAAAAGTTCCAGACACAAAGCATTTAAGGGTAAGGGGATAAGAAAGTGTTTTTCTAGGGGTTGTTCATTTAAAATGTTATTATTATTATTCAGGTATGGCAAAGCCAACAGATCAGGAGATTATGGGTTGTTAATACTCACAGATTCCAAGAACAGGAGTCATGCCACACTACATGAGTCTACACAGGAGTCACCAGGGTCAGACAGGAGGCAGAGGGGAGGGAAAACATGGGTAAAAGGCTTTATTGGGTTTTTTTTTTGTTTCCTTAGGTTTGTTTTTTTAACAAACATAAGTATTATTATTTCTGTGAGTATTATTTTTTCTGTGAGAAGGAGCAGGGGAGGCAAGGTAAGCAGGTTTAGGACTGGCTGGTTTGAGTAATGTGAACAGACTCTAGGCTGTGGGGGATACCCCCAGTTGTCTGGTACCTGGAGTGTGAGAGCCAGCAGAAGAAGGGTTGTGGGCATGGGCTCTGGATTGGTTGCTTTGCTTATGAAAGTCACACTCCCTGGGCCAGGTGAGTTTTTGCTCTCTCTAAAGATTAGCTTGCCCTGGGAAAAGCAAGCTAGCCTGACACAGCTAGCAAGTCTCCAAGATTAAAAGCATTAGAGATGCTGAGCATCTCTGCTCAGAATGGGGAGCAACTGGATGGCTCAGTTGGTTAAGCATCCAACTTCACCTCAGGTCATGATCTCACAGTTCATGAGTTCGAGCCTCATGTCGGGCTCTCTGCTGTCAGCACAGAGACCACTTTGGATCTGCTGTCTCCCTCTCTCTCTCTCTGTCCCTACCCCGATTACACTCTCTCTCTCTCAAAAATAAGTAAACAATTTTTTTAAAATACAAAGTAAATAAATATTTTTTTAAAAATTTAAAAAGGGGCATCTGGGTGGCTCAGTTGGTTAAGCATCCATCTTCAGCTCAGGTCATGATCTCATGGCTTCTGAGTTCAAGCCCCATGTGGGGCTCTGTGCTGACAGCTCAGAGCCTGGAGTCTGCTTCAGATTCTGTGTCTCCCTCTCTCTTGGCTCTCCCCTGCTTGTGCTGTCTCTCTTTCTCTCTCTCTCTCAAAAAGAAATAAACATTAAATTTTTTAATAAAAAATAAAAATGAAAAAA